TTTGTAAAGAGCAGGTTTAGTGGGGCTCCTCCCCTAGTAGGCTCACTTACCAGTTGCATGAGGAAGTTATCTTCCACACACTCTAGATGCCTCTTGGACTGTTTCCTTTCTGCTGCATTGTATTTCCAGCAGACATGTGGTAAATTGAAGTCCCCCACAAGAACAAGGGCCAGCGATTGCAAGACTTCTGCTAGCCACCTGTAGAACATTTCATCCACCTCTTCATCCTGGTTGGGTGGTCTGTAACGGACTCCCATCAGGATATCTGCCTTGTTGGCCTTCCCCCTGATCTTTATCCAGAGATACTCAACCTTATCATCAACATCGTTAAGCTCAAGACAGTCAAAACACTCTCTAACATATAAAGCCACTCCACCACCTCTCGTTCCTTGCCTATCCCTTCTGAAGAGCTTATAGCCATTCATAGCAGCACTCCAGTAATGAGGCTCGTCCCACCATGTTTCCGTGATGGCGACTATGTCATAGCTTTTCTGCTACGCCATGGCTTTCAGCTCTTCCTGTTTGTTGCCCATGCTGCGTGCATTGGTGTAGATAAGATGTAGATGTAGCAGAAGGAAGCCGTTAGTAGTCAGTTTTAATCAAGAAATAGCTTTCAGTATGCTAACACAAAGTCGAAGCTTGGTTAAATTGCCAGGAGGAGCAAATGCGTAAAATGAAAAGTGTTCATTTGCAGCAGGAAAAGTCTAAATTTGTCATTTAAATACCAATGACATGAGGGAATGTTTAAGTGGTTTAGTGAGGATGTAGCTATATCTATGTTTATGGTGGTTTTTCCGCTTTGCTACACAAATGTTTAAGCCTGCCTTCATTTTGCAAATGTGTGTGAAGCTGCTTGTGCTGATGGCAGACTCCCTTATTTGTTGCTTCTGCACACCAGGTTGAATGTGTGATGGAAGCAAGTTGAGCTTATGCCTCTGGTGTGTCTGGAGGACAGGCAGGAGCATAAGGGAGTTAGTGTCCCTCGGCAGCTGGCTTGCAGAAGTAGGACTTTATTGCTGGTTTTCTGCTAAATCAGTAGGATTATACTCTGCTGCCCTAGTGCATTTCCTAAAAGTTTTGAAGTTGGTAAGATGAGATAAGCAAAGGTTATGTCATGGAGAGGCATATTGGAAGATATTTTTTTACCCCAGTCATCTCTGAGTTGAAAACTTCTCCCATTGCAAAATTATTCTGATTTCCTTTCCTCCTCCCTCCATTGTATGGTCCGCAATAGCATTTGCTTAAAGCAGCATGGTTGGAAAGAATTATAGAAGGAAATGGATGTTAGTTAGGTTTCCCCAGCAAACAGTTTAGGAAGGATTACTGAAGGAACAGATAGCAGTTAAGTACTGAGCTTTACATGAGTTATGTCTATAAATGTCATTTGTGCTTTTGGAAATCTTCAGATGCCAAGGTGTGTTTGTGCTGTGCAACTGGTGTTTTGTGGTAGTCTGTGGCCAAGCAGAATGCAAAGCACGGCTGGAATTTGGATTTGTGGTAGGGCTTTAGGCATGGCGGGAAGCCAGAAACATGGTTTTTCCGTAGCTGGTAAGTGCTTTTGAGGAAATGTTGAGGACAGTGCTAAACGTACATTTTTAGGAGTTATTCTCTGCGTGTGGTTTTTCTGTCCCTTTGCTGTTGCATATTAGTTTCTTCTGTATGTTGACAGAGTTTATACCTGGTCAGTGAGAGTGGTGCAGAACTTGTAATGAATGTTGCCTCTCAAAATGAGATTGTTCATTATTACCATAATAGTGTGTATCTGCTCATTTCAAGTCTTTTGATTTCGGAGCTTCATTTTTCACATGGCGTATCTCCTTCATGTGGACTCGCTGTTACTGGAATAATACAGGCGTCGTGTTCTCTGGCTGTACAGAATCAAGTATTTTTTTCCGTCTTTTTGTCAGCAAAAACATGCAGATGCTGTGTTGGGTTGGGCAACATGAGAACTGGCCAGTGCTCCAGATTGCGCTAGCAAGGCTTTTATGATTTTGTACAGCTCTGATCATTATTAGCATTGTAACATTTGTCTTCATTTTTTCCTGTAATAAATCGTCTGCTGAATCTTTTCACTTCAGCAAAGTCATCTTTGAACGTCACTAAAATGGCAATCCAAAATTGCTATATAAGGAAGAGTGTGGCTTTTAAAACTAGCTTTACACATTTAAATCTAGAGAGCATAATTGATGATTGTCTGAAATAACTAGCAACTTCTCTTTTTAAAAACGCTGACAAAGTTTAACTGTTTTCTTTAGAAGAGCAATCTGCTATTTCTGAGCGACTGCTTATCAGAACCCATTACGCAGAGAGAACTATAGGACGTACTGGTAGCTTTCTTTAGACCATGGGAGAATCTTTGTTTATTTTTAAAAAAACAAAAACAAAAAAAACCCCACAACCAACTGGTTCATTACCAGAGCTGCTATTTCTTGATTTTGTACATCTGTTGGAACTGGCAAAAATGTTATAATACACAATCTTTCCTCTCCAGAGAAAGGGAGGAGGGGAAGGCTTGTAGTTACTCTGTTTACTTGGCTGTGTTACTGTGTTTACATCCTACTTTTTTTTTCATTTTATTTTTTCTGTTTAAAAAAAATCCACCTTCTTTCCTGAAATGAGTGCTTTGATTGCTCTTCATGTTGTTCATGTACTGGCTTGGGGAGGATGGTGCTTTCTACTGTCCTAGTAGTATCTGTGTGAACATACAAATGTTAGTAAGTATGTAGTTATAATAATGCTTTCAAGGTTATTCTTGCACTTCTAGACATACAAACTTAACTTCTTGTCAGCCCTAAGGTGTAGGATTTCTGTATCTAGTATATTTCAGGTGCTGTCTACCAACTGCATGTATCTATGGTATAACATCATGCCGAGATCCTAGAGAGAAAGGTGTTCCCTTTTGTCATCATTGTCAAGCAGCTTTTTGGTTCATCGTTTTTCTTTGGATAAGGGAATGTTTTAGTTTGTTTAATGAGAAACAGCAGCTGTAAAACTATTAAATTTAGTTTGGGAACAGAAGCAGGTAAAGCATCCAAGATTCCTCTTTGACTAGATTTTAGGCTGAAAATGTTCCCTTAGGAGGGAAGGAAGAGTATGTTATGTTCTTGAAATATGCTTTATTTTAGACCCTGGGAATAAAATAAGATTTTTTTGGATAGTCTTCCACAGAGGTAAGATTTTCCGGGGGAGGGGGGTGGGAAGTAGTAATAATTCAGCATTTGAAAAATTAATATAGTGGCTTAAAATGTAAGACCTCTTTTTAGCAAAACCAGGAGATGTGAGGGGTTTTTTTGTTTTAAATTCTTGCATTTGAGGAAGGTAGTATTCCTGTGGGGTACTGCCGTACTGGATTGTAGTATAAATTGAGTAGTGTTGCCTTGACTACCTGCTAGTATGTATGTAATAGCAAGCTACAGTCATCTGAAGAGGGCAGAGCAGTGCCCATTACCCATTTCCCTGCATTGCTCTGGTGAGCTGGACAGCCCATGGGCTATTTCTGTGATTCCTCTTTGGAAAGGGATTCCTGTTTCCACTGCTGGTCAGTCTTTCTCGGAAACTTCCTAGTCCTGACACCATCATCTCAGCGATCCCATCCCAGAGACATAAAGCACACGGTGTTTTTTCAGCTGACCTCTAAACAGACTGCCTGGGCTCTGGTAAAATACAGACATTCATCTCAGTCAGTATTGGCTTTTGCCACCCTTCATCTTCTCCGCAGCAAGATGTATAAGTTAGAAATTATGTTTTTGTGTCATTATCAGTGGCCCTCTACATTCCTTTGTTTCTATATTTTGACTTATTTTTAGTATCCTGTTTCTGATTTTGTCGTCCTATGGTAAAATCACAGAAACCCAGTGCACCCGTTTCTGGGAGGTCAGTTGGGAAATGCTGAGGAAAGAAATGGTGCCAGCAGAAGTTGGATCTAGATACGCAGCACTGGTGTCGCATAGGAAATGCCTTCTCATTCTTCTGTTACAGAAGCAGTTCACTGAGAGTTAGAAAAATCCCTCTTGTACAATCAAGCTTCCAAGAAGTGGGAATATTTGCATGTTTGGGGGAAATTAGTGTTTTTGATTGGAGGTGATCTGCCACTTCTTGCAGCAGTCTCCTCTGTTGGAGGAAAATAGAGAAAGAAAAATATTTTCCACTCTTCTTGGAGCCAGTCAGTTAAGCAACAGGGAACAGAAGGAAATCTTTGCCATCCTCTTGTACACAGGGAATAACTGAAGCTTGGTATGTGATGGGAATCTGTGTTTTGGGCTTTTTTTTTTTTTTTAAATGTCAGTGTGATGAAAAATTCAAGTATCACCTTAACTCTAGTCTTTGCTTGAATTGCAATATGGAAGTAAGGGCAAGACAGCATTGGCTGTCACTCACTCTGCAGCTCTGCTTCTTGAAATATTCAGGTGCTTTACTTTATAAATATGCATCTGCATATTTCTCTGAGAACCCTTAGGTTTTGAGAATATATTGAGTTGTTTAACCACAGTGACTTAATTTCTGCTGGCAGTCTAAAATGGATTTAAAACGCACACAAAAATCTTCCTTTCTTTTAATTGACTGCATTGGGTTTGTATCACGTGTGTGGAAAATGTAAGGTAGAGAAAACAGAAAAGTTTCCAATGCTGTAAGCCTGTTATACTTTATGGAAGAACTTGTTAATACATTTGGTTGTCACCTTGGGTTATGGTAACTTCTACACATGTGTGCATGCACACACACACACCACCCCCTTTACGGAGCAGGGGAATGAAGATGCTGTTCTTGGCACTGCTTAAGTGTAACAAAGATATTCCTTGACCACAGGGAAATTTCAGGCTTGTTAAGATGAGAAGGGTGTAAAGGATAGAAAAAGCTGACAGAAAGAACTATTGGGTCGGATGGCAAGAAGGAGATGGGAGTAATGTAAATAACAAGGCATTAAAGTGCTGTGATTTTTCAGAACCAAAAGCAATGGATGTGATTCTAATCTTTTTTTTTTTAATCTTTCCTCCTAATATAGGGAATTCCTCTGAAGAATTCGCTGGAAGTGGATACATGTGAATTTTCTGCATGAAGACTCTCAAACTGGTTTACATAATAATATGCCTGTATCCTCTGACTCTATTATTTTGATCCTTAAAAATGATTAGGGTTGTATATGAAATTTAACCCATTTCTGATGAGTGACCTAGACATGAGTTTACATCGGCAAATGGGCTCTGATCGGGACCTCCAGTCTTCTGCTTCCTCTGTGAGTTTACCATCTGTTAAAAAGGCACCAAAGAAAAGAAGAATTTCATTGGGCTCTTTTTTTCGGAGAAAAAAAGACACAAAACGCAAGTCTAGGGATTTAAATGGAGGTGTTGATGGAATTGCAAGTATTGAAAGTATTCATTCAGAAATGTGTACAGACAAGAACTCTATTTTCTCCACGTGTACCTCTTCCAGAACAACCTCCAGCAGCAAACCAAGTGGAGACTTCATGGAATGCCCCTTGTGCCTTTTACGGCACTCCAAGGACAGGTTCCCGGAGATAATGACTTGTCACCATAGATCTTGTGTGGATTGCTTGCGTCAGTATCTCCGGATAGAAATCTCCGAGAGCAGAGTTAATATTAGCTGTCCAGAATGCTCAGAACGGTTTAATCCTCATGATATTCGTTTGATATTAAATGACGACATCTTGATGGAAAAATACGAAGAGTTTATGCTTAGGCGATGGCTGGTTGCAGATCCGGATTGTAGGTGGTGCCCAGCTCCAGACTGTGGGTATGTATTTTTTCCCAATATCTGCAAAAAAGAGACAGCATAAATAGATCATGTTCATAACATTATGCTTTTTGAAAAGTTAATTGCTTTACTTTAGCGTTTTGTTATGTGTTGTACAAGTAGGTAGCAGGCAGAATTCTTGGGGGGGGGCGGAACCCAAAC